TCGTACTCCTTTCCCAATTTTGATCCAATCAGTTGTTCCATATCCAGTTCTAACTGTTGCATCCTGTCCCACATATAGGTTTCTCAGGAGATAGATAAGGTGGTCAGGCACTCCCATTTCTTTAAGGACTTGCCAAAGTTTGTTGTGGTCCACACAGTCAAAGGCTTTTGCATAGTCAATGAAGCAGAAGTAGATATTTTTCTGGAACTCTCTGGCTTTCTCCATAATCCAGCGCATGTTAGCAATTTGGTCTCGAGTTCCTCTGCCCCTTTGGAATCCAGCTTTTACTTCTGGGAGTTCTCGGTCCACATACTGCTGAAGCCTACCTTGTAGGATTTTGAACATAACCTTGCTAACGTGTGAAATGAGTGCAATTGTACGGTAGTTGGAGCATTCTTTGGCACTGCCCTTCTTTGGTATTGGGATGTCCTCTGGCCACTGTTGAGTTTTCCAAACTTGCTGGCATATTGAATGTAGCACTTTAACAGCATCATCTTTCAAGATTTTAAATAGATCTGTTCAGGAAAATTGGAGATATTAGAGGAACATTTTGTGCAAAGATGGACATGATAAAGGACAAAAATGGAAGGGACCTAAAAGAAGCAGAGGACATCAAGAAGAGGTGGCAAGAATACACAGAGGAATTATATCAGAAAGATTTGGATATTCCGGACAACCCAGACAATGTAGTTGCTGACCTTGAGCCAGACATCCTGCAGAGTGAAGTCAAGTGGGCCTTAGAAAGCCTGGCTAACAACAAGGCCAGTGGACATGATGGCATTCTAGTGTAACACAGTCCATGTAAATCAGAGCAGTGAATTGCTGCAAGTTCAGAAGTTAGTGTAGGCATTTACCATTGTGTGCTGACTTGCATGTCTTGGTGTCCAACAGCAAATGCCTATGCTGACTTATTATTTGGAACAACTCACCACTGAAATTTATGCTGACTGCATGATGCCAGGGGATGTATCAAATAGGATATTAGCCTCTGTGGCCCGACAGAAAGAACAAAACATATCTTCTTACATTTCATGCAGAAAAACCAGCCCTTTAACCTCTTCAGTCTTGCTAACAAGACAGTATCCTGCAGAATTTGGAGAGTTGCTGTTGAAAAGTAATTAGTTCCAAGCCCCTGCAATAGTTATAACTGTCGTTATAATTTTTGCAAAGTAACTATTTTCCTATTTCTCAAAAGTAACTTGTATAATTTGTACCCAGATTTTCCTTCAAGGAACTCTGAACACTGTAAATAGCATCATTGTATTTGCTCTCTTTACAGTCATTCTGAGAGGCAAGTTAGGCTGAGAATTAACAACTGGATGAGGTCACTCATCATTTGATCCTGTCTGCATTCTTCACTAGAAAAGGGTGAATAATCTATGGTGGTTTGTTCATTTGTTTGTGGGGAGAGGAACTGATCCTTAGCTTCTGTGAATGGTGGCCAAGTTCTGTAGCCAGTGTCATAAATTTTGAATGCTTGCTTAGCAATGTGATAAGAGATCTCCATGCTTTCCTTACTGGAACATGCTCAGTTATTTTAAATATACAAGGACACTTCATATTTATTGTAGTAAACATGCATTAGATGATGATTGTAGAGGAAAATAATATACATTTCCCTGAATAAGTAGGCGTTGGACCAGATGTTGCAGGGACTGTTATACCCTCTTTATGAACAGGGGTAAAAACATGAGTTTCATCTGAGTTTTGGGACATTGTGGAAGCTGTAGGAGAGAAAAGTAACGTTTCTAAGCAGTGACCCTGAGCCAGTGTTTCTTTTCTTTTCTTTTCCTTTAAACTTAGATCTGGAGTGCAGTGATTCAATTTGGGGGAAACAGATCATGTCGGTACAGTTAAAACTCTTCTTTGGAATGTGATGAAAATACATTGAGGAGCTGTTGTAATTTGAAAGGTAGCACTCCAATTTGACTACTTCAGAAGGCACAGTTCTGGGGGGGGGGGAGGAGGAGAAGAGACATGTACTATTGGTCCGTGAACCTGTCCTCTTTCTCATTTACCCTGAAGATGATAAGAACTGCAGAGGCTTTGGAACACATAAACATTAAGACTTATGGGTTGGATGAATCTCTTTCTGCCATTTATAACTAGAAAAGAGGTGGGGAGAGGCTTCTGCATGTTATACACCTGGAAACGGTTCAGCAGAATGCCATGACAGTATATGAGATGTGGAGGAAAGTACAGGCTACCTTATAGGCAGAAGGGATAAGAAATGGCTTCCTTCTAAGAACTGGAAGTCTTTGGCAGATGGCTGGCCTTGGTTATTGGTTGGGCACTTGTAATATACTGTAGGATTAGCATCTTAGGTTGATCGGACTCCCTATGTGTCTGTCCTAGTGGACGGATAAATCTGGGCGTTAGGTCCACCACTCTGCCACTGACAGCTTACCGACTCCAAGGTAATCATGAAGATGGAATTATCCACAGCCTAGGGTACCTCATCCGTATCACCTAAATAGTATGCCTATGAAGCTTGTGGCTTTTAACACTGGCTATTTCTCAGCATGTTGGTGTTCAAATGAAAATGGAAAGCCATCAACAGGATATGTTAAACCACAGGAGCTTTTTGTCGTTGCTGTTAATTTAATTTAGGTATTCCTTCTTCCCCTTCTTCCCCTTCCTTTCCCTCTCTAAGAAGTGGCTTTTACTCAACAACACCTACTGCATCATTGTTCATAGACGGGTTGGCTTCTTCTTAAAAAGTTCTTTCTTTCTTTTTTTAAAGTAGTGGGTTATTTAGCTTTGAACTGTTTGGGCCATTAGTGATAATTGACTCATTTATATGCATTAGTTATGCATTTGTCAGTGCCTGGCTTGTGACAGCTGTGCTTTGATGAATTAAAACCAGTGATGGCAACACGTCCATTCTGACTTTTATCCGTATGTTAGGACCTTGCTTGATGTTTCTGTCACCCTCGTGATGAGTGGTTGACTTTTCAATAGTTCCACTATCTGTCTCCTTCCTGATGTCATGCATCATTTGCATAACAACCATATCTGCATCAAGTTGTCGTCCAGACCTGTGTAATTACACAGAAGGGAGCATACATGTTCAGACAAGTGTATTTTGAATTCAGCTCTGATGAAACCATGTTTCCCCCCCTCTAATAGGCATTGCCAAACCCCTTCAGTTGCCTCATTCAGAGGAAGTGCTAGGCCCTAAATGACCATTCCTCCATCTAAATAAACACCTTTTACCTTCAGAAACATAAATCAGTGTAATTTAGTTAATATCATCTGGACATAGCTATAGAAGGCAGACCTGGTCAGCAGCTATTTTTGATAATGGGCATAAGGTTACTGGAGAAAGGAAAAGGG